GTCTTAATGCTGTCAATGCAGTCTATCATGGAGCACCAAGATTTGTTTTAAACTGCAATGCTCTTGCTCTTCACTGCTCCCTCTATGCCTGTGTTGGCTGGCCCTCCCTATCTGCTAGGAGACTGAGCTACTGGTACATTTATATTTACAAGGCTTTTCTAAGGTGTTTTATATATTATTGTATGATATCTGCACCAGAATGTAGGAACTTTAACTAATTACCCCTATCCTATTTACATCATCGACATTTACTTTAACTATTACAGAGCTGTGAAAAAGTAGTTGCCCCTTCCTGATTTCTTATTTTTTGCATATTTGTCACACTCAAATATTTTAGCTCATCAAACAAATTTTAATTTTCGACAAAGATAACCCAAGTAAATACAAAATGCAGTTTTTAAGTGATGATTTAATTTACTGAAGGAAAAAGCTATCAGGTCATAAAATTCACCTTTGAAACATAACATGCATATAAATTTTGTTCATACAGAGGAAAGCATGAATCTGCCATAGCAGTCTGAAAAAAGGTAGGAATTGAGATCTGAAAGTTAAGCTTGTTTATTTACAAGATTATATCACAAGGAACTGTTCACTTTCATGAGCAATATTCCTACAATCATCAACTCAGGCCTCCTATCTGTTGAACATCTGAATTACAGTGTAGTTTAACTTGCAGAGGTTCAGTGATATGGAATACTCTGCTATGTCATATTTTAAACTTAGACCTGCACAATTTAAGAAAGCTGTTTTGGGTTTGTGTTCAACTCCACAATGCTACCCTTATGGATTGTCTTTGTAAATTGCCCACAAATAATTAGCCACTTTTTTTATTACTTTGTGGCCTTGTACATATGCATATCTGCTAGTATTGTTACGCGTAGCAGAACTGGAGGACCCAAATACAGGAGACAATGGACAAGGTGAACTGAAGTGAAGAATCTTTATTTACAGTGGACTGGTTACAAAGAGGGTTTCTGCACACTTTTTGAAATAAAATTTAATGTTTTTTTAAGACTGTTAAGGAAATATAATACCCTTTCCATAGCAAAATAAATGCACATTAGGGCTGAGCTTTATGTTTGAAATCAATTTGACAATATTTTGCCCAGGCTGGCTGCTTTGAGAGAAAAAGCAGCCCAGGGGCCTATTACACAAAAGTCGGATCCTGAAATCCTGGATCAACGTCAAAGCAGAGATTGGCATATCCCAAACAGCGCGTCGCTGGCTTAATTGATTGCACAAAGCCAACAGCGGGTTGAGGAAGATCGGCTAAGTTAAGCCAGCTGCTGTTGATCCTGCTGAGTGCGTGCACATGGCTACCTCAAATAGATTCCGAGATCGATCACAGAATGGCTGATCATCACCATGGATACTCAGTAGATGCAGCAGACGCATGTGCCAGCTTTCAATTAAAGACCGCGTTCAGACAGAGGGACGACGCCGTCTCTGAAACGCCTGTGCTACTCCTTCAGTTTCTGTCTTAATGGTGCAAGGCTTTTGAGATGAGTATTAAAATGAGCTTTACTCAAGTTAAAGTGAACTCGAGAAGTGTTTCAGCGCCGTCAAAAAGGAGTAACTGATGCACTTCGGCGTCTGTGTGAATGTCATGAGCCATTGTTGCTAAGATATAACATCGAGACAAGAAAACAGGCAGATGTGATTGAACATAAAATGCACACGTGAACTGCTAAGCAAACCTAAGTGCTTAGAAATTTTTACAAGCATACTTCTTCCGATATGCCAAAATTTTGCTTCAAGCTCCTTTTTCGTCATGCACAAACTCTGAAATTATAGTCCGATCTAGAAGACGTTTTCAGGCTAGTTGACTTTATTTTCTGCTTTTAATCACTTCTGATGGAGGCATATTCAAATTAAAAAGTAAAATCTTAGCGTCAGAAAATAACTTCAACCTCCTGAAAATGTTTGATTCCAGTATCGCGAAGCGAGCAACATTGTACACGCATCCGGTGCTAAGGCAACGACTCTATCTTACCCGTCGCAGTCTGAATAAAGAGGGAGAAAAGTAGCAGCAGTGCTGTATGAAGGGGGTTACCATAGCTATTTAAGACTACGTTGAAACACAGTATCCCCCTTCATACAGCACTGCTCATCTTCTACGCCGATGGAAGTCTCAGCTTGGGGAGTAAGGACCAATTTGATGATGACAGATTCTAAATATGGTTAAAATGTGACATGGAAGGGGGATTGACTGAACTGTGATGGTGACTGTCGCATGGATATTTGAATATAATGATTGAATATTGGCTGTTTTACTGACATCAATGGTCACAAATTTTTTAAGATAATTACTCTGGGCCTACTATAATTGAGATAGCAATGCGTAGTGGACAATTTAGAATGATTGTTAAGAACATTGATTTTCAATTTGGGTGACTGCTGAGGGTGGTGAGGTGAAATTGGCTGGAGCAAGGAGCTTAGCCAGTTGGTAAGCCAGCTCTGGAGCTGGCTAGCTCCACTGACTTTGTTTCCGTTGCAACTAGTGCCATGGCTTAGCCCGCACATTCTGTGCAACCGAAATGGGGCTTGAGATCAGGCTAATCCTGTGCTGATCCTTGGCTAATCCCTTATCCCACCTTTGTGCAATAGGCCCCAGGTTCTTTGTGAGATGAAAATGGTTTGGTGTGAAAAAACATCCGCAAAATAAAACAAATTAGTCCTACCTTCCATTGTATCCTTCCTCTTTTGTTTGTCAAGATTGTTTTCTGCTGATTAGCCATAATAATATATTATATTTAAAATTCCCATTGATAAAAGGCCCAAAAATCTGTGTATGTAAAATGTTTGAATTTAGCTCCTTTCCTTTATCTTCAGATGGCAGACAACCGCAACTGCGTATGCGCATGAATAACAAACTTTATCACCCCTCTGAGGGGTTGTAAATGCCTCAGAATCTTAGGTTATTTGGTTCACGCATGCGCAGTTGTCAAAGGGAGGATTTCTCAAACTGGCTGAGTTGAATATTTTCTTGCATGCTGGCAGAAAATTGTCTGTAAATCGGGTATGTACATTGCTAATCAGCTTCATTTGTTAGCTAAATGCTGGAACAATACTAACTCTAAAATGGGATTATGCATTCTTTGCAAACAAATATAGAAGGAGTTATCACTCTCCAAAGGAGTTGGAATGAAAATTTGCACACATGGACTGTGAGGTGTCTATTTACACCATGACAGTTCTGTGAGCAAGATAATATTAATAGTAGAGATATTTCCCTGGAACAATCATATGTAAAATCACATTATCAAATTATTAACCAATGCAATGAACTGTGTCCCACTGTTATGCTTTGCACATGATAAAACTTCTTAAAAAAAAAAAAAATTTTTTAATTATAATTTGCTTGCAATTGTGACACTGTAAAACAATAAGGCTGTTTCAGTCATTCTTGCACCCACAGAGTCGGCTGTAGTTACTTCTCCACATTAAGACATGAATGTTACAGTAACTCTACTGTACCTTTCATCCACTTTAACAGTTCATTAAATCTGTGAAGTCCAGCTAAGCGGTCACCAAATTAAAACTGCTGTCTTTCATATCGTATGTTGGCCATTGCGGCTCTGCACAACAAACATTATTCAGACTCTAATAACTATCATAAATAACAGAGGGCTTTTGTGTCTTCCCCTGGCTAACTGTCTTTAGCTGAGCAAAACCTGTATTGTTTTGTGTACTTCTCTAATCCTGTTACCTTAGTGAGCGCAGGTGGCGGTCTGTGGATGTCATGATGTATGCTGGCTGAACCCAACTGCAGATCAAGCGGCAACAGGTTAGGTGACAAAAAAAGGCTTGTATTATATGTGCGTGTCTCGCTGACAGTACCAGTACACCCGTGCCATAATGTTCGCCATATGGGGCTGAAATGGTCAGAACTACTTTCAAATTGGACGTTTCCGTGGCACCTCTGGCGGTAGAAACAAGTGTTATTTTCAAAATAATACGGATGATAAGTTTTCCCATTTAGAGTTCTTTCCAGATGGGTTGCTTTTTTGAAGGAGCTATAACGGATTATCAGTCAACATTTCTATCAGATATGGCCTCCGTTGTGTTCGAGATGACTTGGATTCTCGCTGTTCAACCAGGACCATTGACTTCTAGACAATTTCGGAAGATCCAAATATCATTTCAGCGACAAGTGCTAATATAACTTCATTTTAAAGTGAGTACATGATGCAGTATGAGTGCGGTCGCGCTGATAGCGAGCAATGGAGAGTCAGTGGCCATGCATACGACCATTGCCAAATGTGACAGATTATTAAATGCTGATATTATGGATTTTGTGTCCCACTTCTGTTTTGCATTGTTCTTGCTAGCTATGTAGACAATTCTTATTGGACAGGTATTGCAAATCTAGCCATTTTTCATCATACATGCAAATGTAAAATGGCTGTTGTGATCGCTGTAATCCTCAGTATTATATGCGCGTCTCGCTGACAGTATCAGAACACCCATACTACATCAAACAGTTCCCTTTGTTTTTTTTTTTTTTTTTTTTACGAACCAAATAAATCTATATGAAATGTTGAATTAAAACTTATTTTGTCTCACAAATGAATACAAAAAATTGCGCATATAATACTTAGTTTACTGTGCTCTTGTTTGTAGCGTCTGGGGAATTTCGGAACTCGTTGGGCCGCGGAGGGATGTTAAAAATCCCTCCACGGCCCAACTCGTTCCGAAATTCCAATCCGCTACAAACACTCGCACCGTAACCTATATTTATTGGCAAGAAAGGCTTGGTAGATGAGACAGGGGCTTGCTGGCATTCAGGTGAAGGTGAGTGCAAGGGGACTGGAAGATGAGCGCAGACTGGTGGGCAGATTAACTGGAAAATCTCTGGAGGACTTTTCTTTTTCAGTTTGGCATCTTTAATCCTACCTGAATTTGAAAGGCAACCACAAACAAAGCAACCATTTTATAATACATTTCCCAGCAATCCTTTCCCAACTAGCATCCCTGTAGCACAATAACCACTCATGCGCTATTCTGACCGGGGCTCGAACCCAGACACCTCTGCTCTGGAATGCAGTGCTTTAACAAAGTGAGCCATGCGAAAACTTGTAGATTCATGGTTAGAAATAACCTTTAGATGTATAAAGATGGTGGGAATAAGTCTCAGCAGACCTCAAATTGTATTCAAATTAATTCTAAATCTGTATATAATCTGCAATCACATGCATGTGAATGGAAAGGAATAATTTGATTGAATTTTTAAAATTAAGGGAAAAGTTCAAAAGGTCAAACTTTCAACGTAATTCTGTCTTCGTAAGCGAAAGAGGAACATGAGTTTTCCATTATAGCATAATAAAGTTGTAGTGCCTTACATTTATATTTTTGAATTGCTGCTGAGGAAGTGGAAAGAGGTCTTCATATACCGTAACTGAAATACTGCTAAGTTGTGTGGTCAGTCAGTCAATCAATCCTCTGATCAGAGAATCAATGAGTAGGTATGTGCCTGGTACCCCATGTGCTTAAGCACACCTTAAAGTTAAAAGGGACTCAGTTTCCACGCTACTTCAGCATCGTGGATATCACTGCATATTGCACATTTTCATACCATTAGTCCGGTTTCTCACTTCTAGAACCCAGGTACACATAAGGTAAATTGACCCTTCGACAGAGCATTGAAAGGATTCATAAGATTTATTTATTTTTTTATTTAACCCTTATTTAAGATGTCTTTCCCATTAAGCTTTTGTTCTATTAGAAGGTCCTAAAGACCATCAAAGTCCTATAGAACAGGTTTTCCAAATAGGGTGTTCTATAGGAAGAACTTTCAGGACTTTCTTTTCCATACAGGTGCTCTATAGGTTTCTAACAAATTCCTACAGAACACATGGAAAATCCTATAGAACATGCTGTTCTACTAAAATGTTCATAGAGTTCCATTGATGTTCTATAGAGTTCTATAGAATTCTATAGAATTCCATAGATGTCCTATAGAACATTTTTTGCAGGGTATGGCAACATAGCACAAAGAGTACAAACTTTCAACCAACTGTAGGTATTCGGAAAGTTTCACATTTTGCGTTGAAGCATGTTCAACTGTAGCCATTCAGCTGGCTAGCGCTAATGCTAATTAGCAAGATTATCAAACGTCTTTAGCTAGCGCACTATTGCTTACACTACAGGCCAAAAGTTTCAAAGCAAGATCAAATTTGTTCAAAAAAAGATCATAGTTTCATTGGCATACTTTGCAACAAAATAAACATGATTATTATATAAAGAGTCACTTATCAGAATACGTTTTTACACAAATTATCAGGCCCATATTACTAGGCCCATGGTCCTAGCGCCCGCCGAATCGCTGTTGGCATCCGGTGGGCGGTAAAACATGACATAAAGTGAATAATGCGAACTCATTTGTTTTTTTACTTTTTCACTGAAGTTGTGACTCTTGCAAATCTTCTCAACCCAAAAACTAAGCCCCTCCTTTCTTTTGTTAACATTTATTCAGCAATGGTCTGGTAACATCAATGTATACAATACCTAAAGGTAAATAGAGGAAAATGGTGCATATCATTGAAAGAAAAGTCTAATCATGCAGTAAATACATCCCAAAATCCATAGATTTCATACTAGTTTTTAAGAAAGGCACTGTGAACAGAAACTTGAAGTTGCTTCCAAATTTTTGGCCTGTATTGCCCTTGCTTCCAAACTTCTGGCCTGCAGTGTATTCTTGGGCCCATTTAGTAATGTCAGTGACAGAATCATGCCGGTGAGTGATGCAGTGGCGTCTGAGGGCCCGAAGATCACGGACATCCAGTAAAGGTCTTCAGCCTTGTCCCTTACGCACAGAGATTTTTCCAGTTTTTCTGAATCTTTTGATGATGTTATGCACTGTGGATGATGAGACCTTCAAAGCCTTTGCAATTTGACATTGAGGAACATTGTTTTTAAAGTATTCCACAAATTTTTTATGCAAGCCTTCACAGGATGGAGAGCCTCTGCCCATTTTTACTTCTGAGAGACTCAGCCTCTCTTAGACATCCCTTTCATAGCCAATCATGTTACACACCTGATGCCAGTTAACTTCATTACTGGCTAAATGTTCTTTCAGCTGACTCTCTTATATATTAATAGCTTTTTCAGCCCTTTTTTGCGTGTGTCCCAACTTTTTTGAGACCTGTTGCAGCCAGAAAATTTGAAATAAGCTCATTTTGTGGATAAAACTGTAAAATGTTTCAGTATCAACATTTGAAATGTTATCTATGTTCTATTGTAAATAACATATTGGCTCATGTGATCAGAAAGTCATTGCATTTTGATTTTATTCATAATTTACACTTCGTCCGAACTATTTCGGAATTGGGGTTGTACATTTAATGAGAAAAATGCTGATGCATTCAATACTTATTTTCCCCGCTTGTATGGGCTCATTAGAAATGAGCGGCGTACATGAAATGCCAGCCGCAGTTCTGTCAGGGAACTCTTTGCAGCTGCTCTATCACAGAATTTGAACATCATGTGCCCTCTCCCACTACCCAATCATGTCTGCTCACATCACTTCAGTAATGCTGCACACGCTTCAAAAATGGCTAATTAAGCTAATGATTTGCAGCTGCTCACACTGGTGCTTTGTCTGCAACTCAGTCATCTGCTGCGTAGTTTGCATTTGCCCCTAATTGTTGTCATTGCTGGTTGTTATGCTGCTGTTTTGTTTTTATGCTCACCCGCCCTATCCTAGCTTCCACCTCTTTGTCTAGATCTGCTTGTGTACTTGCGGGATTCGGTGTCTGGTTCATAGGCAGATATAGTTTCTCCCTATATTCAGGTTTCTGCACATATTATGCACCAAGTACCCAAAGCAGATCTATTTACGGCCAAACTGAGCTAAGTTCTGTATCATACTCAATAAATGGCTTTCATTTTTACATGTGAGTTGTCCTGACTGAAATATATTTACTGAGAAAAATGTTGACGTGTTCAATGCTTATATTCCCCACTGTACACTATGCATAGTGTGGGTCACAGTGTTTTATGACGGTTACAGAACTAGGCCTGGATATTGGCTTACCTCTTAGTTGGGAACCTGCTACTTTAACTTTGTTGCTTTGGTAAACCAAAATTAGATATTTGTTTATTCATTTGGCTTGTTTGGCATGACATACATGGTAAAGTATTATTACAGGTGTGTTGGCAGTAATAAATAATGCATATCTACACATTATCAGCTGATATGTTGTTCTAGCATACACACATGGCAGAGTGGTGTGGAGTGATGATTTTTTTGCTGTAACAATAGGAACGGACTATGCCCTTGACTGGTACCGTATGTAAGTTTTCACACTACTGAATTTCCTGTTGGCTAATGGCTAGAATCTGAGGCTGTTGAGGAGAAACAAGTCAGGAGTCATCAGCCCTGAAAGAGCTTAAGTGGTCTGCTGGCACAGATAAAGGAGTCTGGGCCAAATGCTGTAGCACAGGCTAAAGAGGGCATAACTTACACTTTACAAGGGCAGGGTATAGACATTGATTTCCCTGATGTTGCTAAAGAAAAATTTTGCCAGTCAAAGTAAGAGGGAGATGCTTCCTCTCTTTGTAAAAATGTTTATTAATCCAAGCATAACTCACTCTTCAACATAAAATAGTCATATTAAGACCTCAACACAAGTGGAAAATGCATTACGCTCCAGTGAAAGTCTGAGAACTACAGTGCCGTACAGCATAAGGACACAAAGTAAAACACAGTGAAAAACAGATATGGTGTAAGCAAAAAAGCATAGTTAGTGCTAGGCTTGAAAGAGTCTTTTCACAAAGGTCCAGTTTGAGTCCAAGTTTTCTCCATCTCCTTTCGTATCTCATTTCAGACCAGTCACTCCGGTCCATCTTCTGCTGCTGTTCTGCAAGGTAAGAGGCAGTTATTTTGGGCTGAACGAGAAATTTTGTGGATCTCAAAAAAGAAAAAAAATACATTCTGCTATAATAAACAAGGATGTCAGGACTCTTATCTGTATCATAAGACAATCAATTGGTAGGGTTACAGAAACAATGTTGCATAATATATTTACATATCCTGTTGTAAAAAAAAAAAAAGAGAGAGACATGCTCACTTAAAGAAGAGTAGTTGGTCTAACTAAGTATCTTCACACAAGTTCCAGTACTCTTAGTTACTTCTTAATTGCCTCCCAAAGTGGTTAAAACTGTGAGAATATGGAGTATTTATTTTCTCTTGAAAGTGCACATGCACTTAAATGCAGAGCAAGTTTACTTAAAAAAATAAATTTACCATTTTTATTTCTGTCCTGCATCAGAGGAAAAAGCAGGCAGAGAGATCGTCAGAGGGATCAAGTCACATCCTGCTACCGATCGCAGAAATACCCAGAACATGCGTGTTGGGTGAGCTGCCTAAAATTATTTGGATGGTTCATGAATAGAATAAGCCAAGAACTTTGTGGAAAAATCTGTTTGCAGGGAGGTCAGAAAAGTGCATTCCAGAGGGCTATAAGTTTGAATCCTCTGGATTCCGAGCCAGGTGCCCGATCATTTATTATTTTATCATGACTGCATCTCTAGGTTAAATTTCACAGTTTATTTTTTGGTTCAGGGTATTTTAGTTATCATGGGAAAGAAGCTGGTTGTGTATCTATGTAGGCTTCTTGTTTAATCGTCATATACTGTGTGGCAGAGACATGCTGTCAGGATTGGCGGCAACTTCACCTTTTAACATGGGATTACTATCAACCTGGGGTGCGTTTCCCAAAAGCGCTGTTACTATCTAGGTTCGCAACTTACATAGTTGGTTCATTCACAGTCAATGGGTCCAACCATGTAAGTTTGCATCTGTGATTTCGGGAGACGCACCCCTGATCAAGAATCGTACAATTTATTTTCAAAATAATACATACCAGTATGTTGCGAACAGTGGCGGCTGCTGAACAGAAAAAGGGAGGTGGGGGGGGGGCAGCAATATGAATAATCCATTAGCAGTTAAACACACAGAATCCTTTTTAATGAAATGTTAGGGAAAGAAAATAATAAATTCAATAAAAAATGTTTTATTCACTTGCCTTAACAGGCCACCCTTCACAAAAAAGGAAAAAAAACTACTCCGGA